GAGGGTTACCGGGGTCCCACCTTGGAGTCAGGCCTGGGGTTGGGGCCCGTGAGCGAGCACCTGGTGGCCGGGCTTTCGCCCATGGGGCCCGACTGGGCCCAGCCTGAACCGGATACATGGGCTCATCCAACTGTGGACCCACCACCCGCAGGAGGAACATGAAGGCTCCGGTGGAATGTGGATCAGGTGGCAGACCAAGGCGGGAGCCTTGGCGGTCCGATCCCTGGACAAGAAAACTGGTTTTTGGGACATGGAACGTCACCTCGCTGGCGGGGAAGGAGCAGGAGCTTGTGGCAGAGGTCGAGCGGTACCGGCTAGATATAGTCGGACTCACCTCGACACATAGCATTGGCTCTGGAACCCAAGTCCTTGAGAGGGGTTGGACACTCTCCTTTGCTGGAGTTGCTCCGGGTGAGAGGCGGAGGGCTGGGGTTGGCTTTTTGTTAGCCCCAAGACTCTCTGCCTGTCTGTTGGCGTTTACCCAGAGGGACGAGAGGGTAGCTTCCCTGCGCCTTCGGGTCGGGGAACGGGTCCTGACTGTTGTTTGTGCTTATGGGCCAAATATCAGTTCAGAGTACCCACCCTTTTTGGAGTCCCTGGGAGGAGTGCTAGATAGTGCTTCATCAGGGGACTTCATTGTCCTGCTGGGGGACTTCAATGCTCACGTGGGCAATGACAGCTTGACCTGGAGGGGTGTGATTGGGAGGAACGGCTCGCCTGATCTGAACTCGAGTGGTGTTTCATTATTGGACTTCTGTACAAGCCGCAGTTTGGCCATAACGAACACCATGTTCGAACATAAGGATGCCCATCGGTACACTTGGTACCAGGGAAGCCTGGGTCGCAGGTCGATGATAGACTTTGTAGTTGTATCATCTGACCTGCAGCCGTATGTTTTGGACACCCAAGTGAAGAGAGGAGCGGAGCTGTCAACTGATCACCACCTGGTGGTGAGTTGGATCAGATGGCAGGAGAAGATGCCGCGTAGACCTGGCAGACCCAAACGCATAGTGAGGGTCTGTTGGGAACGCCTGGCAGAAGAACCTGTTAAGACAGTCTTCAACTCCCACCTCTGGCAGAGCTTTGACTGCGTCCCGAGAGCAGTGGGGGACATTGACTCCGAGTGGGCCTTGTTCCGCTCTGCGATTGTTGAGGCGGCTGTTGTTAGCTGTGGTCGCAAGGTGGCCGGTGCCAGTTGTGGTGGCAACCCCCGTACCCGCTGGTGGACACCAGAGGTTCGGGGAGCCATCAGGCTGAAGGAGGCCTACAGGGCGTGGCTGGTCTGTGGGTCTCCGGAGGCAGCAGACAGGTACCGGATAGCCAAGCGGGGTGCAGCAGTGGCAGTTGCCGAGGCAAAATCTCGGGCGTGGGAGGAGTTTGGTGAGGCCATGGAGAAAGACTATTGATCAGCTCCAAAGAGGTTCTGGCAAACTGTCCGACGCCTCAGGAGAGGAAGGCAGCAACTCGCTCACACTGTTTACAGTGGGGATGGGGAGCTGCTAACGTCAACTGGGGCTATTGTCGGATGGTGGAAGGAATACTTTGAAGAGCTCCTCAATCCCACCTACGCGCATTCCGAGGAGGGACCAGAGTCGGGAGACCTGGGGATGGACTGTCCAATCTCGGGGGCAGAAGTTGCTGAGGTAGTTAAACAACTACACATCGGCGGAGCCCCGGGGGCGGATGAGGTTCATCCTGGGTATCTCAAGGCTATGGATGTTGTAGGGCTGTCATGGTTGACACGTCTCTGCAACATTGCGTGGTCATCGGGGGCAGTTCCTGTGGAGTGGCAGACTGGGGTGGTGGTCCCCATCTTTAAGAAGGGTGACCTGAGGGTGTGTTCCAACTATAGGGGGATCACACTCCTCAGCCTCCCTGGAAAGGTCTACTTCAAGGTACTGGAGAGGAGGGTCCGATCCATAGTTGAATCTCAGACTGAGGAGGAGCAATGTGGTTTTCGTCCTGGCCGTGGAACTGTGGACCAGCTCTATACCCTTGCAAGGGTGATGGAGGGGGCATGGGAGTTTGCCCAACCAATCCACATGTGTTTTGTGGATTTGGAGAAGGCTTATGACAGTGTCCCCAGGGGGCACCCTGTGGGGGACACTCCAGGAGTATGGGGTGGGTGGCTTTCTGTTATGGGCCATTCAGTCCCTTTACCAGAGGAGAGTGAGTTTGGTCCGCATAGCCGGTAGTAAGTCGGACCTGTTCCCGGTGAGGGTTGGACTCCGCCAGGGCTGCCCTTTGTCACAGGTTCTGTTCATTACCTTTATGGACAGAATTTCTAGGCGCAGCCGTGGTGTGGAGTGTGTCGAGTTTGGTGGCAGGGGAATCTTGTCCCTGCTTTTTGTGGATGATGTGGTCCTCCTAGCTTCATCCAGCTCTGACCTTCAGCTCTTGCTGGGTAGGTTCGCGGCTGAGTGTTAAGCGGCTGGGATGAGGATCAGCACCTCCAAATCTGAGACCATGGTTCTCGACCGGAAAAGGGTGACTTGCGAACTCCGGGTCGGGGGAGAGGCCCTACCTCAAGTGGAGGAGTTTAAGCATCTCGGGGTCTTGTTCACGAGTGAGGGTAGGAGGGATCGGGAGATTGACAGGCAGATCAGTTCAGCATCTGCAGTGATGCGGACGCTGAGCCGATCTGTTGTGGTGAAGAGGGAGCTGAGCCAGAAAGCCAGGCTCTCGATTTACCGGTCGATCTACGTCCCAATCCTCACCTATGGTCATGAGCTTTGGGTAATGACCGAAAGAACGAGATTGCGGATAAAAGCGGCCGAAATGAGTTTCCTCCGTAGGGTGGCCGGGCTCAGCCTTAGAGATAGAGTGAGGAGCTCGGATATTCAGGCGGGACTCGGAGTAGAACCGCTGCTTCTCCGGATCGAAAGGAGCCAGTTGAGGTGGTTTGGGCATCTGGTCAGGATGCCTCCTGGACGCTTCCCCGGGGAGGTGTTTCGGGCATGTCCTGCTGGCAGGAGGCCCCCGGGTCGACCCAGGACACGTTGGAGGGGTTACATCTCCAATCTGGTCTGGGAATGCCTTGGGGTCCTGCCGGAGGAGCTGGTGGAGAAGGCCGGGGAGAGGACGGTCTGGAGCTCCCTAGTTGGGATGCTGCCCCCGCGACCCGGACTCGGATAAGCGGAGAAAGATGAGACGAATTTAGAAAATGATTAAAATATATTCTAAATGAGCAAAAAATAGACAATTGTGATTTAAAAATGTAAAGAAAGAGAGAGAGTGAATAGGAAAGAGGGAGTGGATCCTGAGGAAGAGGAGAGAGAGAGAGAAAAAAAACCTGACCGGAGCGGAGGCAGTGACTGATGCAGCACGAGCCGTTTTCAGCTCTGTCTTGTCAAATGCACCACGTACGTTATGAAAAAAGTAACTTTAAAATAACTTAAAAAAAGAGGCGAACTGAAGAAAACATAGGGAGTACTGAAAAGTGAGCAACAGTGAAGCATGCACAGAGAGATCCGTTACTGTCTGTATATGTGCGTGGATGGACCAGACGCGGACTGAGTTGTGAGCTCCCGGCTGCAGAGTTTTGTGTGTAGGGAGGGGCGGGCGCTCTATTTGACTGGCCAATCACAGAGCGTGAAGACAGTTACCCAATGAGGATTTTCCTTCAGCATGATTACAGATATTTACGAGTTTTACTCGTTTCATGCTTATACTGGTTAAAAATGCTTTATCCGTACCGGATACTCATCTGAAATGAGTGTCCGGCACATTCCTAGTAAGTACAGTAAGTGAGTAAGTAAGGTGAGTAAAGTAAATAAGGAAGTAAGTAACAAGTAAAGTAAGTAAGTAAAGTAAATAAGGATGTAAGTAACAAGTAAAGTAAGTACATAAGTACAGTAAGTGAGTAAGTAAAGAAAGTAAAGTGAGTAAAGTAAATAAGGAAGTAAGTAGTAAGAAAAGTAAGTATGTAAGTACAGTAAGTAAAGTAAGTAAAGTGAGTGAGTAAAGTAAATAAGGAAGTAGTAAGTAAAGTAAGTATGTAAGTACAGTAAGTAAGTAAAGTGAGTGAGTAAAGTACGTAAGTACAGTAAGCGAGCAGGTAAGTAAGTAAAGTAAGTATGTAAGTACAGTAAATAAGTAAATTAAAGTTTACTTGTATAGCACCTACCACAGAAAATAAATCACAAAGTGTTTCACAAATAACATCAACAGTAAAACCTGATTAAATGACTACAAGAATTAGGATAATTAATAGGACCGTTAAAAACAAATGAACAGCTTAGCAGCTTGTGGTTGATGTTTAATCTCATCGATTCTGTATTTAGGTTTTGTAAAATCAGCAATGACAGTCTGATGTTTTTATGATGTTCGCCTGAGGTTGGTTTCACAGATTTTTTTCCATGAATTTTTAAATTACAACAATTAGAAGAATAGTGTCATTACTTTACTTGTTAAACGTAGTAAACTTTTATTAAATCAGAGACTGACAAACATGAGCATTAGAGTGACAACATGATCCAAGCCTTTCCCTAACTTCTACATAACGTCTAATGACCCTCTGTTATCAGGTGACCCTTTCGGGTCCGAGCTTGGCTCTAAACCTGTTTTCTCAAACATCAACACAACAGTTTACGGTTTACTCCAACTGGAGATAAACCCAGCTGTGGAACCGGTTCATTTAGAAAGAGCACACGCTCCTCTTTAATAACATCACTATTTACTCTGTCATCTATACTTAGACAAGCCTTACTTTAGTCAGAAATGAGGCATGGCTGTTTTATGCAGAGACACCTGAGCCTTCTCACTTCTACTCCAGGCTTTTACTCATATGAATGAATACATGTAATAAACAATCATCCCTTTGGTTGAAGAAATAAGGTGTTTATTCTTTTTATTTTGTCACCATGAGTCATGTGTCTTATAATGTGTTCTGTTCTAAATTAAATTATTGTAATCAGACTAAGTTACGTAAATCTAATTGTTTCTACCATGTTTTCATCCATGAACTTAAACTTCATCCAGGTATGAGCAGAGACGCTTACCTTTAGTCAGGAGAGTCAGCAGCAGCGCCGCCGCACTGATGACCTTGATGAAAAACATGGCTGTAAGGGAATTTCTGCGGGCACCAGACTAACTTAGCTTTAAATAGTCTTGTTGCATTTAAACACTCCTCCACCTGTCACAACACGCCCAGCGCCTTACCTGTCCCTGCTCACATCAGGTACCACACCTTCACTCTGAACCAACTTCATTCCACCCACTCTGCTCTATTGTCATCAGTAATAATTTATTGTTCTACAGTTTCCTCTCTGAGGTGTGAGTTCACCTTTAGTTTTTATCACTTCTCGCATTTTATTTTTACAGTTCTGTTTCTTTAGTAAGGAGAAAATCTCCAGCTAACGTTCCTTTAGATGGTGTTTGTTTTTTTCTTCACCATGTGACATGTTAGCCCCAGCATGTCTCAGATAATGAGTTTGTTAACAGTTCAATCATCCCACTGTGGGGGGTTAAGCCTGGTTCATGCTTCTCCGTCTGCGTCAGTGCGGAGACATGCAACGCCATTATCCGTCCTTACGGGCCTGCCGGAGAGCTCCGCAAGGACGGACGGAGTCGAGCTCTCTTTTCTAAACATCCGTAAGACGAGACGGACAACGCAAGCTTATGATTGGTCAGGGCGCCACTGTCGTCTACATCGCCGCCATTGCGCCCTCAAAAACAGAGAGCTGAGGATGCGGCAGACACGGAGCAGCTTGAAGAATACCTCGCGAAAAAACTCTAAAAATATGAACGTTTAATTCTCCCGTGACTGGAGGAGTGAAAAGATGCGCAGCAAGCGTTTTATTTGTGGACGGAAATGACAGGAAACGTGGGTTTAGAGGTGGGGAGCACATGAAGAGGGGGAGGAGAATGAGAGACAAATATGTCCGTGTCAAAAGTCTTTTATATACAAAAAACACAATATAAACACACTATCTTGGACCGATACATGACAGGATACCACAGAACAGCGCTACGCCCTCTGTAGTCCTGCCGGGCAATTGCTTTGCAACACTCTCCAGGAGACGGAGAAGTATGAGAGCAAAACGCTTCCGTCAATCCGTGCGTGTCTGTCCCTTGCAGAGCTGACGGAGAAGCATGAACCAGGCTTTAGGGATGATATCACTGGTAATCTCTAACTTCCTCTAACTTGACAGCAATAAACCTTTAGCATCAATTTTATTTGGCCATAAGGATTTGGTTGCTTAACCCATAACGGTCTTGGACATCTGATTCCATCCATCCAGTCTGCTTACAGAAATCTGGGCGTAATTATTTATTGACTGTACTTTTTAATTAGATACATAATCAGCTTGGTGGGCAAATCAGAATCCTTTCAATTTAGTCTTCTAGCCAAAGTCAAATCCTGCTTCACTTTAGATTTTGAGACAGGTCTTTGATGATGTCACACACTGACTAACTCACTAATTAGTCTCCCTTACATCACCTGCAGGCGATTAAAACGCTTGGCTCAACTTTTAACAGGAACAAAGAAACTTGTTATGCCAGTGTTGGTCTCCCTTTACTGGCTCCTAGTCTGCCATAGAAGTGGACATTTTCAGCAAATCTGACTTTTTGGGTATTTTTTGTGCAGCTATGTGGGGCCTTCACTGTCTCTATGAACTCTCCAAACATGAAAGAACTAGAGGAACAGGAATGTGACGCATCATTTTCTTGTGTGATAATCGGCCAGCTCAGGGTTTCTCAACCTTTTGTGACTTGTGTTCCCGAGCCCCTTTAGTCAAATGTGTTGATGGTGCTTGTGACATTGGTCACTGCCAGATCTAAATACTTGACAGATCTACTGGAATGAGACACATTCCTGAGGTATTGAAATGTATTTATTAGTATATTGATTAGCAGGTGACCCTGTAAAGTGGAAAGTAAGGTATTTATTGATATTTATTTATTTAAACATAATTTCATACGGAGGAATAACCACTTGAGATGAAACATCTCGTTTTCGAGTGGGTCCTCCTTTACGACAAAAAGAACAAAAATTAAGAGCAAGACAGCAGAGCAAAAATCAAAACATTACAACAATCATTTACACACACACACTCACACACCCTCACACGACACGACCCCAACTAACAAGGACAAAACTAAAGCAATAGCCAGTTGAACAAATACAATTAGTAACAGACAATCATTCCTAAAGATGATCGACCAGAGCCCTTCGAAAAGTAGTGAATGATGATAAACAACGAATAGATAAAGGAAGATTTTTCCAATCACATGGAGCCTTAAAGCCAAAAGCATGTTTCCCTACCTCTCTTTTCACTCTAGGAACAACAAAAAGATCTGGTCATTATGCCGCAGGCTGTAAAGTGAATTATAGGGAATTAAATGTATTTTAAGATAATCCGGATAATTAAAGTAAAAAGTTTTAAAAATGAACTGAAACCAGTGAAACTGTCTCCTGACAGCAGGTGCGAACCAGAACAACTGTCGATACATCACACTTCTATGTGTCCTAAATGGACAACGAAGAACTAAACGACAGACTATTATAAGCAGCATCAATAGAGTGCAAGCAGGAGGATGAAGTGTTCTGATAGATAATGTCAGCATAGTCCAGAATGGGCAGAAGCAGCTGTGTGGCAATTCTTTTCCTAACCAGAAACTTTAAACAATTAACAGACTGATAGAGGATTTTAAGACGAGAATTTAATTTTTTTTGTAGTTGATTGTGTTTTAAAGGATAAATCAGGTTCCAGCCAAACACCAAGATATTTTACGGTCTCTGTGGTCTCCAGAGGAGAGGAGTCGAGAAAACAAAGCTTCAGGTTTTTTCGCCAATATCTGGGGCTTTCTGATGATATGAAGAACTGAGCAAGTAAATGGCTGTGGAACAAACATTTGTATTGTGGGCGTGTGCTTACCTTTCCCGTTTCCTGTCAGCAGGTGTGAGCAAAATAGTCCACGAGGGCGTGTGGATCTTTTATAGGTTCCAGAGGCAAATACCAAGAGGAGGATTGGAAGAGTGATTGGGTTATTTTAATATGGTGGGAAGTATTGATGTATATTAAGCACTGCTTATTTATAGAGATGAATGTGGAGTGTAAATATTTTAAAGTAACTATGATTGTATATATTTATTAGCTTTTCTATTTAGTATTGAGGTTTTAGGTGATGGTTTACCCCAATTAGGGAGATGTATAAAAGCTGATGTTTAACAGGAGGTGTGTGGGATTTGATTTTGTTTTTTGAACGCTGTTCCAGACCACACTCCACACTAGTTGGTGGCGATAATGCACCATTCGTTGTTTGCCAACCGCCAATGAAACATCAGAAGAAGAAGAGGTGTGTGGGATGTAGAAGTCTGCGCAGCAAAAATAAAGAAAAGAACACCATTTTTCAGTCCTCTGGTTTGTGATGTTACTCTGCTGAACTGATTGCTTCCAAGGACTGGTCGGCCAAAGCAAACAGTGCTCCAAAAGTAGAACGTACAACTGATTATTAAATGAAAACTCCCCAACACTGAGCCATGCCTCACTTCCTGTCTGGTTCTTGTGAATTATTTAACTTTATGAAAATCATGCAGCGCCCAGAAGAAATTGACTTCTTGCAAAAACTTTCTGGAGCTCCGCATCCGGATTCGCACCGCACCACAGCCGCTGTAAATTCTCTGTTTGCACTCAGTGATTTTTGATCTATGCAAAACTGGACCACATCCCTTATGCATTCAGTGTGAACGAGGCTTCTCGCCCTCTCAGTCGCAGAGTGTTGTGCAGCTGCAACAGCCTGCTCTGATTTTCATTCATGTGGTTGTTGTTTGTGCCTTTTTTTGGTCTTTTCATTGATAAAAGCTGGGATTATTATTCATTTCAGTAGGATTGGATGAAATCGTTTAAAATCTGTAATGATATATATTCTTCTGTTTGTGTCTAAATGATTGTTTTATACATTTGCATACCAGATAAACTGCAGCAGAACAGATTTCTAAAATGTTTAGAATTCCATTAATGTTCAAGATGAATTTTTAAAAATGCAACGCCTTTCAAGTAATTTTTCTGTTGTGATTATTTTTCCTAATAATGCAACACAAAAATCCTCATAAAATGAATAAAGATGAAAATGTTTTGAAAAAGAAAATAAAGGGCTCAGCAAGGAGTGAGGGAGAGGGGAACAGCTTCACCCCTGGATGGGAAGGGGTGGGTGGGCGTGGTCAGCTCCAGTTTGTTTTCTTAAAGTGACAGAGCCCTGAAACGACTCATTCTGGAAAGTACTGAAACTGTCAATAAAACTGCTTAATGTGAGAGGGATTTAGAGCAAAGAACTTCACGAACATGTTTTAGCTGTTTGCTCTGAAGTTTTCAATGTTATCTTTTTTAATTTGGACTATTTGGTTCTGTTAAAGTTTTATGATTGTGATGATGATATTTTGTATAGACCATAAAACTTTTATAACTAGAAAAATTGCATTTATTGCACAAATGCTGTTTGAATGCTGGATAGCTGAAACCGTAAGCTGAAGCCGCTGAACAGCTGAACTGAAGCTGAAATTAAGCAAAACTGTCAAAATGAGCTGAAAGTCTTGAAAGATGTAGAAGCAAAAAGCACCAACAAATAAATAAAGCACAAAAGTAAGTGAAGAATAGAGAAAAATAATGCTAAATAGCAAAAAAACTTAAATCTGTGAACATTGTATAAAAATCTGGACAGCTAAAATGTCTAAACACCTGTTATTTCAGTTTGCCAAGTTTAACTGTTTAATCTTTACATTTAGGTGAACTCTGAAATCAGCAGTTTATGCTAAATTTGGTAACTGATTGCTGAAGTTGTTGAATAGCTGAAGTAAGCTGAAACTAAGCTAAACTGTCAAATGAGCTGAATGTAGTGAAAGGTGGGAAAGCAAAAAGCACAAAGAAGCAAAAAAAAGCACAAAAAGTAAGTGAAGAATCACGAAAACTAATCCTAAATAGTAGAAAACTCAAATCTGAACATTATTTAAAAATCTGGACAGCAAAATGTCTAAACGCTTGTTGTTTGAGTAGGACTAGTTTAACAGTTTAATTTTTATATTTAGTTGAACTGTGAAATGAGTAGCATAAACCGAATTCAGAAACAGATTGCTGAAGCTGCTGAATAACTGAAGTGAAGCTGAAACTAAGCTAAACTGTCAAAATGAGCTGAATGTATTTAAAGATTTAGAAGCAAAAATCCCCAACAAGTGTAATAAAGCTCAGAATATAGGTGAAGAATAGACAAAAAATGCTAAACAGCAGAAAACTTTAATCTTTGAACATTTATTAAAAACTAAAAATTTGAAATGTTAAACAGCTGGCATTTGAATGAGAATAGTTTAACGGGT